ACCAGCACCACGCTCTCGGAGATGACCGCCGCCCGCTTCGACGCCCTGCCCGTCGCCCCGCCGCTGCGCCGCGCCATGGCCGAAGTCTTCAAGTACGACACCATGACGCACGTGCAGAGCGCCGCCGTCCCCGTCGCGCTCGAGGGCGCAGACCTCCTGGTCAAGGCCCGCACCGGCACGGGCAAGACCCTCGCCTTCCTGCTCCCGACGCTCCACGCCGTTGCCCAGAGCCCGCCGAAGAACGGCACCGCCGTGCTTGTCATCTCGCCGACGAGGGAGCTCGCGCAGCAGATCGCAGAGGAGGCCAGGATGCTGCTGAGCTACTTGCCCCGCTTTACGCTCCAGGTCCTCGTCGGTGGCACCAACATTAGATCCGATTTGGCCGCCGTGCGCAGGAGCGGACCACCCACTCTGCTCGTCGCTACCCCGGGCAGGCTGCTGGATCATTTGGGAAATCCTTCCTCGGGCTTCCCGGCTGCCATGCACACCCTCTCCGCCCTGATTTTGGACGAGGCCGATCGCCTCTTGGACATGGGCTTTGCCCCGGATTTGAAGCGCATTTTCCACGCCATCCCATCCGTCCAGCATAGGCAGACCTTGTTGTTTTCGGCTACCATGCCGGCAGACGTCGAGAACATGGCCCGCATGGCCCTCAAGCCGGATTTCAAGGTTGTCGATTGCGTCGGTGAGGGCGAGAATACCCACCACCACGTCAAGCAGTCCATGCTGGTCACCTCCTTGCCCGACCAGATGCCTGCCCTCGCTGCTGTGCTTGCGGAGCACACAAAGCTCAAAGACTACAAGATTATCGTCTTCTTCACCACCGCGAGGCAGACTCAGTTTTCCTCAGAGCTTTTCGCCATGGCGAATACTCCAGTTCTTGAAATACACTCCAGAAAGTCACAGGGTCACCGTACTAAGGTCAGCGACAAGTTCCGCAACGGCAAGTCCTTGATCATGTTCACCAGTGACGTTACCGCCCGCGGTTTGGATTACCCGGACGTCTCGGCTGTCATCCAAGTCGGCCTGCCGGCAGATAAGTCCCAGTATGTCCATCGCATCGGTCGAACGGCACGCGCTGGCAAGGATGGCAGTGGAGTACTGCTGCTCGCAGATTTTGAAGCCCAGTCGTTTATGAGGAAGGCAACCGACTTGCCGATTCAACGTATTGATAGCCTTCCTGACACCGTCATGCGCCCCATGAGGGCTACCATGGCATCAAGTGTGGGCAAAGTCCCTTATGGTACCAAAGCAGGAGCATATCAAGCTTGGCTAGGCTTCTACAACTCAAATCTCAAGAATCTCCATTGGAAGAAGGAAGATCTCGTCGCTATGGCCAACCAATGGGCCATGAATGTCGCAGCATTGTCTGAGCCGCCGGCCTTGTTGGCTAGAACCGTTGGAAAGATGGGCCTTCGTGACGTGCAAGGACTGCGAGTCGAGGGACGTAATGGTGTTCCAAGATCGGAGCGCAGTGTGAGTGGCACTGGCGCTGGTGGCGGAAGAGGTGGTAGAGGCGGCCGAGGCAGGGCCTCGGGCTCAGAGGGCGGTCGTTGGCGTGGTGGACCACAGCGCGACTCCTTCAAGCCTCCTCGGTACTGAGATTTGCATTGTTGTCGGTGCGATTTTGCTTAATGTTTTTGCTTCACAGTTTTGTTTCTTTTTGAAACGTGGTCACACACCTTTCTCTACTTCTTCTTCTTCTTCTTCCTATCTTGAGTCGATGGGAACGACTAAAAAGTCACTGACTTGGTAACTTCATTACTAAATGTTTGCGTGTCTAGGCTAGGCATTGCGTGTGATAATAAACGACCATGCTATTTATCACGACCACGATGAGTCTTGGCCCTACTGTATCTCCCAGCTTTGCCTCACAATTTTTCCATGCAGACATTGTTGTCGATATGATATGCATGTCGTTTGATTTGCGTGAGTTGTCAAAGATCAAATCTTGCAGATTCGTGTGGGTTGTCAAAGATCAAATCCCGCAGATATCGTAACTTTACCGCATCCACATGCACATACGTAAATGATGCAGTCCCTCATATACCTGTACTCCACACCTTCAGTGGGTGTGGCCAACACCGGGTGTTCAGTTTTTGGGGACCGATTTGAAATCGGCCTCCCATGCGCATACTGTATACGCTTCATACGCACTCATCCATCACCACTCACCCGGTGACATCAGTGTGCAGTCCACCACCGACAGAGAAATGCAGGCACAGAAAATAGTGCACTTCACGCCTTTGCACCAACACAGCTGTCTCGAAAGGCATCTGCGATCCCTCGAATGCATAACCGCGTTGGATCTTTTTCCGGCCGAGTGACCGACCTGAGACGGGATGTAAAACTTCGAATGCAGAAAAACGCAGACCCGAGGGGGAAGCCTATTATCGAAAGCCCCCTTCGGAGTCGTGTTTTCGTGATAACGCTTCCTATCGGGCGTAAGTGAACGAAGCAGGGCGTGCACGATCTGCTTGTTTGCCCCGTTGGAACAAACACGAGTCGAAGATCAAGCCCCAGGTGCCACGCGCTTTCGATAAAGACGAGCTCAAGGCGTGTGTGTTATCGTCCGCAAGCTAGACGCTCCCATCGGGGCCACAGGCACCGGACTTGCTTGAGCCTTGCGGCCAATACTGTATGGGGCCTACGGAGCATGTGCGGATAGCGACGCTGTGCCTGGGTCACGTCTGCGTTGGATACCGGACATCGGTGGAGCGTCCGATGCTCGCCGAGTACGCACCGATAATGATCGTATTCTCAGTAACCTTCATCGCCGTGTGGGTGCTGGTCGTACTGCTGCTGCTCCTCTGCGAGGCGACGTACTCGATTTCGCTGCTGGGGCAATCGCTGGGGCCCGGGAGAAGCGGGACCTCGGTCCACGACGAGCGGCTCGCCATGAGCAGAGACATGGCGCGGGTGCACGAGGCACTGGACGAGATGAGCCCGCTGGAGGTGGTGGGGTGCGCGGCGGGGGGCGCGGAGAGCGGGTGCGCGGTGTGCTTGGACGCGCTGGTGGCGGGGCAGATTGGGCGTGCGTTGAAGTGCGGGCACCGGTTTCATGCGCGGTGTATCGATAGGTGGGTGCTACAGTGCGCGGGCGGGGGTGGGACGTGGATGGGGATCGGGTGCCCGCTGTGCAAGACGAGTGTGGTGGGGGGTGGGAAGCGGCAGACGGAGAAGAGGAGGGTGGGGGCGAGCGTGGCGGTGTCTGGTGCGTCGGTTTATGAGGTGGGTTTATGACAAGGCGCTGCTCTCCTGCGCGCAAGGTGGAGAGTGAACGGGGGGGTCTGTTGGGAATGGCAAGTATGGCTGAATTGGAGTTAGAGTCGGGAAACAGACTGCTTGACGACGCGTCTTATTTCGCGGTCGTCCTCGCGCTTCTTGATATCGAGTCTCTTATCGTGGAGCTTCTTGCCCTTTGCGAGCGCGATTTCGATCTTAAGGTATCCGTTGTTGCTAAAGTAGGCCTTTGTCGGGACGAGGGTGAGGCCTGTATCCTTCTGCTTTTCCTCGAGCTTGCGGATGTCCTTCTTGTGCAGCAGCAGGCGGCGCGGGCGGATGGGGTCGTGGTTGAAGGCCGGGCCGGCGAAGGAGCACTGGGCGATGTGGACGTTGTGCAGGAAGAGCTGGGCCTTGTCGACGCGGGCGTAGCCGTCGCGCAGGTTGAGCTTGCCCGCGCGCACAGACTTGATCTCCGTGCCCAGCAGCTCGATGCCGCACTCGTGCGTCTCCAGCAGCTCGTAGCGGAAGCGCGCCTGCCGGTTGAGCACCGTCGGCGCCTGCGAACCCCGCGGCCGCTTGGATGGCAGCGCGCAGACAACCGCGCGCTGCGAGACGGGCGCGCGGAGGGCGGAGCGTGAGCGGCCCGCCGCGGGGCTCCGCCGCAGCGGCAGGACCGGGGAGATGAACGAGGGGGGAATGGAGGAAGGCATGGGGCAATCGGGTGAGGGGCGGGCGGGCGGCGGGTGAACGGGGGGGGAGCGGAAAGGTGCGGAGGCTTTGCTGGCCGGTGGGTGGCGGTTGGGTGAGGGGGAGATGTCCGGCGGGGAGGGGAAGTTAGTTTTTTTTTCTTCACCTGTAATGGCAGGATGTGGCATGATGTGGCATTACAGGTGGAGGCGATGTGTGTCGCTGTAATGGAGGGGGGGCGTTGGTGCGGCGGTGGATGATCTGGAAGGAGATTGGAGCGCCCGGTTGGGGCACGTGTCTGGCGGGGGGATATTTTGAGAGGGGCCGGGAAATAAGCGGAAAATAGGGTGCCAGCGTATCTCCCGCGCCATATCTCGAGGGTGGATCGCGATCCATCCATTCCGCCCTTCTTTTTTTTTTTTTTTTTCTCGGTTTTTTTGTGGTTGCACGCCGCAAAATGCAGACGCGGGCCGCATGCCATTCCACGCGCATGGCCCCGCCCTGCGGCATGCCTGCTGCGCGCCCCCATTTCTTCGCCTCTTTGACACCCACCCAACCGAAAGTCCAACTACTTTCTTCAAAACAACGCAAAAAAAAACTCACATCCCTCCCTTTTATACCCACCGCTCCCCTGTTCAACCGTTCCGTTCGACGTCGTCCTGTCTACTCATCTACTCCCCCCCGCACCCCGTCCTGTCCTGCTCTCATTTCACCTTTCCCTGGCCAAACGTCACTCTCTTTCCCCCCCCGTTTCCCAACCCTCCGGTTCTTTTCCCACCCCCCCCTTTTGGGCCCCTCCAACCCCCCCCCCCCCCCTTCTCCCAAACGCGGTCGTCGTCCCGTTGCGTGCATGGCGCGCAATGATGGACCCGCCGCGCCAGGCAACCGTGCCTCCCTCATCCTCGGGTCCCCTCTCGTCCCTCACCCAAGTGTCCGCCGCCACCAGCACCATTTCATCGTCCGCTGCCCCGGGCATTTCGGCCTTGGCCCCGCAGTTTGACCTCGCCCTCACCGCGTCCGCGCGCCGCTCGGCTCCCCCCATTGGCTCGCTCTCTCCGCAGGGCACACCGTTTGGCACGCCCTCCCCGGCAAACATTAACCATCTCGCCCTGCGGGAACCCAGTAACCCCACTCATCAACAACAACATCAACATCAACAACAACACCCGCTCCGTTCCCCACCGCTTCTCGCTAAAGAGTTTCTTCAAGAGGCCGAAGCCCACTCGAACTTCGATTTTCGCTCGCCAAACCTCTCATCCGCACACGCTTATTCTACTTCCGCCTCCTCTGTACCGCTCCACCAACACCCAGATCCGCTTTTTCCGAACACCATCCCACCGCAAACTGCACCGCTACCCCAACCCGCAGCTGACTTTGACCTCTTTGGCCTGGCCACACTCGACCTCGGCCCGCCTGTTTTCGACAACCCGCTACAGCCTTCACCCGCCTTGCACCAACCGCTTTCCTCCCCCACCCGCTTACCGCATACATCCCCCCTCTTCCCGACTGATACCTTACATGCTTTTGACCCGCCCCAATCACCGCGCAAGTCCCCACCTGCCATCTCGCCCCCTCCGCTTCTCTCTCCATCGTCTCGCTCCCCGCGGGAGCAGCCGCATCCGACTCGCTGCGTATTGCTGAGAAACATACCTCCCGGTATTGATGACGATGACATTAGGAGTGTGCTTCAACAGTATGGACCCCTCAGGGACCTTGGCGCTCAGCAGCGTTCGAGAGGCGGCCGTGGTTCGGTACTGGCTACTTACTACGATTTGAGGCATGCGCGCGCGGCTGTCAAAACTCTTCACGAGGCAGTGCACTTTGGCCGAAGGTTGGACGTTAGGTTCCAATGTCCCACCGACACCTCCATGTCAAATCTTGCCATGACCTCTCCGGTTTCCACCAGCAGCGGCACTATTGGGGGCCCGGCTAGTCCGTGTTCTAATCAGGGTACACTCGTCGTCTTCAATCTGGACAATTCCACTTCTGCAGAGGATATTCGCGCCTTGTTTAGCGAGTATGGTGACGTCAAGGAGATCCGCGCCACACCAAACAAGAGGCACCACAAGTTCGTCGAATTTTACGATGTTCGTGATGCGGAGAAGGCCATGCGTTCATTGAACAAGACCGAAGTTGCCGGTAAGAGGATTAAGATTGAGATATCAAGGCCTGGTGGACGTGCCAGTAACCTTCCGAGAAATGCCTCTCCAGGAAATGCCAAATCTCAACAAGCTGCCATTCACCATTTTCACGTTCAGCAGAGGCACCACCCATCAAGCAACCACGCCGCATATCCCCCGGATATTTCCGGTTTTCAGAGTGCGTCGCCTAGACGACAGGCAGTGGACTCGAGCCATTCGTCGAATCAGCACATGGCCTCTGCGTTTTTACCGGGGATGCATCCAGGTGTACAGAATCCGACACACTCTGCGTTTGGCGAGGAGTCGGAAATTTCCCCTCTGGATGAGTTTGGAGGAGTTGGCAGGGACCTCGCGAATCTCATTGGTTCAAAGAGCTTTGATGCGGGTATTGGCCATTTGCAACCGAGTTCGTACGACGCGTCTTATGGAAATGGCCATCGCAGCCAGGAGTTTGACTTCGGTCTAATGCACGGAAGTTACGACGCATTAGCGGAAAATCAGATTGCAACGTCCAGTGGAATGGAACAACGTCCTGATTTACATCAAATGTATTCGGATCACGCGATAGAGTTGAGCAAATTTTCTAATCCGCCCATGATGCCATCCAGCGCACCAAGGTATCCGGCGGACTCTTATATTAAGGCCCTGTACAATTCCCCAGACTCGGATGACAGTCGCAAAGCCATGTCACCGATACAATCACCGCCTGAACGTTCCCCGTTCTCGTTGGGAAAGGCGGGCGGACCTGGCGCAGGCATTGCCGGTCTCAACCTGTACAAGAATGCGGTGGGAGATGAAATTCCAACCGGGAATGCGTTTCCGAGCAATCGAGGTCACAATAGAACGGCGATGACGAGTCTTGGACGTCGTATGAGTGGCCTTCATGTTCCTCAGGGGGTCATCGGCGGTGATCGTGGATACGCGCAAAGACACACCAGTAACAAAGGAGTTGTTGGTGCTGCACAGAACGGTGGGAACAAAGCCTACTTTAATCAGCAACAAGGAAACTCCAAGTATGCACTTGATATCAGGAAGGTGCGGTCTGGGGAAGAAACCCGCACAGCGCTCATGATACGGAATATACCCAACAAGTACAATCAAAAGATGCTTCTCAGCACTTTGGAGGAGGAGCATCGCGGCAACTTTGACTTTATCTATCTGCCGATAGATTTCAAGAACAAGTGCAACGTTGGGTACGCTTTCATTAATTTTACGAAGCCGCAGTATATCGAGCCATTCTATCACGCTTTTCATGGGAAGAAGTGGGGTCGCTTCAACTCTGAAAAGGTCTGTGAAATCACTTTTGCTCGAATTCAAGGACGGCAGCAGCTTATTGCTCATTTTCAGAACTCCAGCCTCCTTCTCGAGGATCCAAAATGTCGACCGGTCATCTTTGATGCCAACGGAAGGCAAGAAGAATTCCCGATAGGTTCGCATGTGCGCACTCGGCGGGGACCATCTAGCAGGGATTCGTCCCAAAGAGCGTGTGAAAGCTCTCCACCGTATTCGCCCACCAAGCAAAGGGGCAGAGGCCATGCCTAGCAAATATGTGTGTTCACGGATGTGCTTGGTGGCGTGATTGGCTTGCAATTTGGACATGCAGTAGCGCTGGCTTGTCCTGATATGTTTTGATTTTATTCTTCGAGAATACTGGTGAAGCCTCTTAATCATGTCGTGCGCCTATTGCTTTCCTCATTGGGAGCATTACGGCGTTGCGGCAGTGCAGCAGACGTATCACACCGGACCCACCCTCGAATCTTTTGCGCTCGGGCCTGCAACTTTCACTGCTTGCAGTTCTCGCAAATGCTTTATTCTGTATGTACAATTTGTTCGCGTGCATTATCTATGCGTAGGATGCTGCCGCATGGTGGTTTTTTTTTGTTCCAATCACTTTTGGTCACGGATGTTAGGGAGGCAGGCTACTGCATATACACTTGGTCCGTCCTTTCTGGGATATGAGTACACCTCGTGCTTGTTGTTGAGCCGATTATGTGAGGAGATATTTGAGTGTATGACAGAACGGGGACAAGATGTGTCAACGTTTTGTGTCAACGTTTTGCCTCCAGGTTTTGCTTTTAGATGCGTTAAATTGATTTTTTTGTGTAGCGATTGTCTGCCCAGTTGGTTGAAAAACATAAACGATTTGAGCTGCTCCCTGGGAAGGATTGCATCCCCATTTTCGTTTACGGTACTTGCACAGAGCAGGTCTATCCTTGGCATTGCGTAGTCCCGTGGTGTGCTACTGGAGATGGACCTGTGGACCTGCTCTTGGAACGACACGTGCAGTACATGGAGCGCGTTGTAATATATTTCTAAACCTCGAAAATCTACTGCTCTTGTAAGTCATGGTGCTTGCAGTATCAACTTGTGCTGAAAGCATTTGATCGAGGGAGGTGTTGAAATTATTCGACCACATGCTGGACGAACGAAAAGATCGCGGTGCCCTAAAACGCTTTATCTTGCAAAGTCAAGAGCGTCGTACAGCATAAAGAGTTAAAGGCAGCAAGGTTCTCGGACGTGACTTTAGAGTAGGGGCCACAATTAATGTGCCTGTCAATTTCAATTGTGCAGCACGCTCTTCTCTATCATGGCCTCTACTGTAGCATAGTGCCTGCGGGTCACACGCCCCGGGCGGCTGGTAGTGAACCCACGGTGTCGTCCAGCTTGCTTGCCAGGAAAGAGTGCGCCACTTTACGCCGCCTGGACCGCGGAAAATATCTCACACTCGACCGCTTGGGTTCCGTGGTTCGCTCCACCATTAGCATCGCTTTTTTCCACGACGGCAGGTATTTTGCTTCTACTCATGGCAATCATTCCGTCAAGGTTCTTCCGCCGCCCCTCACTTGAGCAAATCGCAGAGCAGCAGCCAAATCTTCATCGCTTGGCTCTGCGCATACATATCACCCACCCGTGCATCATCTCCTTCTTGCATTTGCATGCATCTATAGCAACCACACTGAAGTGCCCTCTAGAATACCTGTTCGTGAATGGCATCGGACGCGTGTCGAAACTAAACGACATCTATTCATATCTTGCTTTTCAAAGCCCCAGAATTTGTACATGATGCCGAGTCCAGAGGCTCATGAGTGAGGTCGCCAGACTAAATACAGGTCGCTTCGCAAAGTGCAAAAGGACAGGAATGCTGTCTCGGACCATCATCATCTAGAGCTGTGGTTGACGACACTCTGTTCCGCCCTCACTGAAATCCGGCATTTCCCTTGCAATACTGTATCACAATTAACAAACAAAAAAAAAAACTTGCTGCACGAAAAGAGACGGATGAGACGCTTTCCGTGGCTCTGAACGCACGACATACCCACACGCAACAACCCCAGAGATTTTGAAAGGGCAGCATAAACAAGCCGTATCAAACGAAAATTGTAAGAAGCAGTTGTAAGAAGCAGGATTCATCATCTTGGATTCATGGCATTCCTGGCAACCGTTCTAGTAGAACCGTAGCTATGAATCCAAGGATGGATTCATGGCATTCCCACTATCGTGTGTGGTGCTTATTATGAGCTGAGCTAATAGCAAAAGCAATTGCTCTTCCCTTTTTTTTTTTTTTTTTTCTTCTTCTTCATGTCGCCATGGTTTCGATATGACTGTCTTGTTCATCGCCCACGTCCTCACTTGCTGTTGGGCATTCCAGAAAAGACAACAGGGCGGTGCGCAGCCATGCCGCTATTGGAACGACTGTGTTCTTCGGCGGCCCGGTGGGTATGATGCGATACATGCTGGACCCGGAAAGGCGAGAGAGCAGTTCGGTAACGGCAATTCTAGCCTCCTCCGCCACGCTACTTCCAAAGGCTTTCACTCTGGCATCAAACTCGTCGTCGTCAAGGTGAAGAATTGTCTGCAGACGCCAGGCAGTGCCGCCCGACTCTACCTGCAGCCTGACGAGCATTGCCATGGCATAGTAAGTCGACAGCCTCCGTCGGCGCGTGGAGCGGATCGACAGGTCCAGGCCTAAGCGGTCTAGCAGCGTGAGGGCTGCGTCGTTGTATTTTGCAGAGAATTTATGAGCATCTTCAAGGCTCTGTATTGAGGGGCATGGAGAAGCAAGTTGGTCCGGTGGGGCGATCTCTGGCGGTAAATCGGTGACAGCGGGCTCGTCCCGGCGGCGTGAGGGAGCGACAGCTTCCGCGGCGGTGGCAATTCTGGTCGGAATTCTGTACCTCTTTGGGCGCTGGTGGAGCTCGCCGTTGAGCGTGGACTCGCCGTCCTGGAAGAGGGCGAGGTGCAAGTCTTGCAGGAGGCGCTTGGAGAACCACTCGGGGCGGATCTTGTCGCCCTTATAGAAGCCGTCCCACGAGGCGAGGGCAAACTCGAGGTCGGTCGGGAGCAGGGCGCCCATCTGGGCGATAGCCGCGCCAGCCTCCTCGGGGTGGCGCGGGGCCGTCGCGGAGAAGCGGTGCGGCGGGCGATGCGGCGGGTCGGGCGGGTCCACGGCGGCGGCGGTGGCGGCGGCGGCGGCGGCGGCGGCGGCAGGCCCGGACTTGGAAAAGATGGGGGAGCGGGCCCAGCTGTGGCTGACGACGATGCGGACGAGTGTGTAGGCGGTGCGCGTGCTCCAGTACACGGCAAACTGGATGACGGTGCCGGCGACGGAGAGCGCGACGACGCCGCACAGCATGGTGGCGGAGGCCAGCAGCATGATGGCGCCCGCGACCGGGGCGAGGACGATGGAGACGCAGTACAGGGCGGCGTGGACGAGGTTGCGGTGGCGCAGGGCCAGCAAAGCCAGGTAGACGGCGTAGAAGACGGCGAAGACCGAGACGGGGACGGTGATGAGCAGGGCACCGGTGGCGTACACGGCGATGCGGGTGAGCTTCTCAAAGTGCTGCAGAATGTCTGCGATGCGGGTGAGCGAGTCGGTGTCCTCGTTCCACACGAGGTCCTCGCTGCGCTGCAGGTCGAGCGTGGCGGGGGCGGAGGGGTCGGTCATGGCGACGACGTGGTCGTCGACGCAGACGAGGGCGCGCATCTCGGGTGCGCGAGCGAGGAGGCGGCGAGCCTGGACGGCGGCCTGTGTCCAGTTGGACATGTGGAGCAGGGCCCAGGCGACGCGCTTGGCCCAGTCGACGACGAGGTCGGCGCGGACGACGAAGGGGAGCAGGACGCCCAGGACGCGGTCGAAGCCCTCCAGGCCGCCGCCCGACTGGCGGTAGATGAGGGAGGCGACGGCGGCCACGGCGGCCGCGGCCAGCAGCCACGTGAGCGCGGCCAGCCACAGCATGGCGTTGCGCACGAAGATGTGGCGGTGCTGCATCGCGCGCATGAACTTCTCCGTCCCTAGCGAGTACAGCACGCCGATCAGCGCCCCCAGCGACAGGAAGACTATCGTCTGGCTCCGCGCGTCGTCCGTGGACGCCTGCCGCGCCGACGGTAGCCGGTGCACGAACGAGGCCAGCGCGGCTACGGAGGCCGCGCTGCCGAGCGCTGGCATGGCAGGGCAAGCGGGCGGGGGGCGGGGAGGGGAGGGGAGGGGGGGGAGTGGGTATCGGGTGGTCTCTCACGGGATATCATCATTC